AGCAATGCAAGCCACGGAAGCAACACAAGCCTCGCAAGTATCGGAAGCGACGGAAGCAATGCAAGCCACGGAAGTAACGTAAGCGACGGAAGCAATGCAAGCCACGGAAGCAACACGAGTATCTCAAGCATCGGAAGCGACGGAAGCAATGCAAGCCACGGAAGTAACGTAAGCGACAGAAGTAACATAAGCGACGGAAGCAATGCAAGCCACGGAAGTAACGCAAGAGACAGAAGCATCCAAAGTAACGCAAGCAGTGGAAGCGAGGCAAGCAACGACGCTAATGGAAAGGCGGACGGAACGGTGGATAATCATGCGGAACAGGCGCCTAACGGGCAGACCGTCGAGAAAGTGGGTATCGAGAAGGACGACACACACAGTGAGAGTAGCAGCACGGGCTCTAATTTGGATACAGAGCAGCTGGACTTGTATACAGATACCCATTCAGACAAGGAAGAGAAGAGCGCCCCTGCCGTGACTAATACGGACAAGACGGTAGCGCTGGGAGAGAGAAACGCCTCTGAATCGTCAGCCCCAAGTGAAGATAAAGCTTCCGAACAGAATGTACACCGTGAAGTGCAAGTTAAAAATGGTACGGGAAGTTCTCAAGAGACTTCCAGCACGGGACAACTGACACCTGTGCATGGCGAGCATGGAAAAAGTCAAGATGACGGGAAGCATGAACAGCATGGACATCCTGGAGAGCATGGACAACATGGACAGAATGAACAGCGTGGAGAACATGAAGACAACCAAATATATGGGACGATTCACCCCGGGCACAAAACTTCCCTTTTATCCCAATTGAAGGAAAAAGGCATCCACGTGTCCACCACAGAAAGAGCAATCCTTGAGATCATCGAAAGCGCCAAGAAAGGGGTAAAAGGATTATTACAGCTACAGAACAGCAAAGACACAGGCAAGTTACTGCAGGAGGCTTTAGAGAAGCTGAACATAAGGCAAAGAAATTTTCAGAACAATAGTTTCATTCCTCTAGAAAAATATGACAAGATTCTCTCCCAAATATTTAAGATATTAACAGAAATGTCATTCTATAAGGATGGCCACTTTTACGAAACGTTAGGTTTGGACAAATCGGTATTAAATCAATCACTAAAAGAAATGAAAATAAAAATGCTCAGGACCATTGGAGTGTCCTACACCAAGTTACCTCCTATTATTAAGAACAAACAGAAAGAAGGCATGTGTGCAGTTAATGATCTCATCATTAGCATTACGTCAAGAGAGTTGGCTCAACGATTGGCCATAATGTTCTCAAAATGGCTTGCTGCAGAAGAATACGGGGCTTTGGTCGAATTGGATAAAAGCGTAGAATTAAATGTGCTCTGCTCAGGGGCACCTATCCTATTGCAACAGTGGAAGTATTACCAGAATATGCTGGGGTTCGAGGTGGGGAATGAACATGCCTTTTTAAATTTAATCGATGAGTTGTTAGTCATTGACAAAAGATATAGTAACAATAAAAAGTATTCTAAGGACCTAAAGAAAATAAAAAAATCCAAAGCTTTTAATTATTGTACAAAACTTATGAGGATGGCAGGAAATATATCTACCGTTCCATTTAATCATGAAAATAATAAAACGCCCAGTCATTCCATCACCGGGTCGTTAGGGAACCTGGTGAAGGCTCACATGGGCAATTACTACATTGCCATTGCTAGGAGAGTAAACTCCTATTTTGGATATACTGAGAAGAGGAACAAAAAAAACAGTCCTTTAAAAGTTATTTCCGTTTGTACTCTCCTTCATTTGACCGACATGCTTTTCAGCTGCTCTGATGAGCACCTAAAGAACATTTTGGATCTGAACACCTTGAAGCTTAACATTCTGAACATGCAGGGCAAGCGTGTTCTGCATTCCCTCGTCAAGATGAACTTCCTCAGCGAGACGCAGAACGGCTTCCTCAAGGAGATCTGCGAACCGAATAACACTCTAGTGGGTGAGTGGCAGAATGACGGGAGTGGAGTCATTCCTGGGGAATTCTTATGCCCGCAGTCAGTTTCGCCCTGAACCTGTTCCACGCAATGGCTCACACTATGGCTTTCTTCCCGCCGCCTGCTTCTTATCGCTTCCTTCACACCGCTATCTTTCCGTTCACCCATCTCAGGCGAGACCCTGTCGAAGCTTCTCAACCTACTCTCAACCAGTTCGCACGAAGTGCTCGCGGCTGAGCTGGAAAAGCGCGGCTTCGACGAGGACTACCTACAGGAGGAAGTGAAAAATATAAACGAAAGCGACAAGAACGTTCGGGACAAGGGAGAAGACGAAATGGAAAATATGATTTTTGAAGATTTGTGAAATTAGTTCTCAACGTTAGAAGCGATCGTCTCTGTGGGGTGAAGATTACGTAAAGGAACGAACCTAGTTAGAGGGGCTTCTTCAGAGATAGGGCTGTTTGAATGGAGCGTTTTTTTCATTTAACGGGGGAAGCACATGGACGCACCTGGTGCCTGAAGAATCCTTGAAGGAACCCCTTTTTTTTTTGCGCCCTCAGGATAACGAAATGGCGTGTTTCCTTAGGGATGCACTTCGTAGCACCGTCTAATAGGCACAAACGGGAACTGTTTACCATGTAGCTACGCTTCCGTTCTTTTTTTCTTTTTTCTTTTCTTTTTTGTTTTGTTTTTTTCATATTCTTTTTGCTTCTTTGATCCCTTTTTATGAACCGTTTAGGCTTTTTTTTCCCCATCCTGCCTTTTGTTTTTGCACCCTTTTCCTTATTTTTCTCTTTCACCTTGTTTTAGTTTTTAAGCTTTCCTACCCACATTTTGGCAAAGTGCTCACTTAACTTGGTCGTCCTTGCGAAAACGATTATGCCATGTTAGCATAGAAGAAGCAGCATAAATTTTGTTTGCACAAAATGGGAAAGTATCACTTAGAGTCTTCTTTTCTTTCTACTAATTCATTTTGTAGTTTTTCTTTTTTCTGCTCACTTGTGTTTATAATGACATTTTTCAATTACGTGTTGAATAAAAAAAATGTTACACATTATGGGGAGGGTTTCCACTCGGATCGCGTTTGACGCGGCGTACTGTGGAACACGAAATAAAATGGCATAAAAATAGTACCGAAATGGCATAAACATAATATCAAATGCCAGTAGAAATGAGGTAAACAAAAAAATAAGAACAAAAAAAAAGGCACAAACTGGGGTAGAAGGGGTTCATCTATCCACACCTTCGAAATGAGCATGAGGCGGAATGTTTACATGTGGACGAAGCAACATAGTCCGGAGCTGGTGGTCACGCATAACTCTGTCTCATTAATAAATTGTGGCTTCATTAGGAAAGGAAATCACATATGTGGGGGGAAAAGACGGAAAACTTCTAGCAAGATACACAAAAGGAATAATCATGCGAATTGAAGAATTCCTGAAGGAACAAACAAGGGACGCGAAAAACTTGCAGCGGGGTCCTGCACGCTGTGGAAAAAGTCGAAATGGCAGCTACGCAATGATACAAATACGTGTACGTATCAGTGGGGATGCACACATGAGCAGACATGCACGCATCAGGAGATATGCACGTATGGAGCGAACGCGCCCTTGTGCGGAACCGTGCACTGACGCAAAAATAATGATTTCCATTCTCTGAGGACGGACAAATCAAACGTTTTCCTCTTTCAGACTTTGGTTATGGCTAGCCAAAAATGAATCATCCATGTCAACGTTGTTGATGTTGAGGTATATGTCATTCAGCGGATACAGGTAGTCTCCTGCGAGGAGGGGAAAAAGAAGGAAAAGAAAAAAATAAAAAGATATACGAATGCTTGTGTGTCAACCTGAACCCCTGCTTAAACGGTACAGATCACTGTGCGACGGAACATTTCCCAATCTCATTTTTTAAATCCATCTGAGGAAGCCTACTGGTGGGATAAAGCTTTTCGGGGGTGAGGGGGAAGAACCACTTCCACTTGAATTCGCCAAACACCTGTATGTTGTGAGTTGTGCGGGCAGACGATGAGTACTCTCTTTATGCTTTTTTTTCTCTTTTTTTTTTGTTTGTTTGTCTGTTTGTTTCTTTCACTTGGATGGTGCGCCTCTCTTAGCAGCCTTTAAAATTGTGCATACCATCTTCCAGTTATTGTAGGTGCCCAGGTCATAGGGATTCTTCAGGGGAAGGGGGGCATAGAAAATAGGTACAAAATTTTGAACCCTTAGCCAAATGAACAGATTAACCCATCTTATGGAGAAGAACGACGGGTGAAGCCCCACCCAATGTAGACTCAACTGCTTTCTTTCGCTTTTGTTCACCTTATCCGTGTACGACGACTCTATTATAGTGACATTACGAGAAATGAAATAAATGTACTGGCAGTTCATCTGAGGAGGAGAAAAGATGGAAGAAATAGGCACCGTGTGTATATAGGCATGATGAAATTTCCGAGCAGTCAACTGCTTCACCCCGCGAAGGGGTCTGTCGAAAATTGGAAGCATTTCTTTTCCTTTCTTTATTACGAAAATTAGGGCTATCATCATTGTCAGGGAAGCACAGACAGCTACGGAGGAGTGGCAGAGGATGGATTGTGTTTCCTTCAGTGGAGACATATACAGAAAGGGAAGCTGATATGCACGCCTGTTTACGCAAAGCACGTAGGTTCAGGATCCACAACACGTGCACATTTTCTACCCACTGGGGGGGATATATTTCTCCTGTTCTCTTTACTGATCAGCAAGGCGCCATGGTGCAGCGTTTCGGAGGCCTATGTCGGGGGGAAAAATAAGCAAGCAAATGAAGAAACGAGCAAATGAACGAACGAACAAATATACATGTACGGTCAGCCCGAGTGGGGAGCTACACAAAGTGATCAGCCTAATGCACCAGAGAATGCTTCGTGATAACCCCCCCTTTGTGGAAAGTGTTCCCAAATAGCGCATCGGGGATATCCCCTCTCACCCGATTACCTTGTTGCTCTCGCTTTTGTGTAGGGCCAATATAAATTTCGGGCTAATCGTAACGGCAATGTACAGCGTTGTGAGCAGCCCGTAGAACAAGAAGAGGAAAAAGAACTTCAAATTCCTCTCGCCCACGCAGGTGCCTATCCATGGGCAGTGGTGGTCCATCTTCAGCACGCATCTTTTGCAGGACTGGACGGTGGCGAGAAGGGATCGGGTGTGACATCGGCCGTACAGTTGGAGTATACATGGAAGAAAACTTTGTAGTATTTCTTCAGCACTCGCCTCGACATTCACTCAGCACACCATGCTCTGTATAGCCCTCTTGTTGGGCGATTTACCCGGCAGTGGTGGGCCCTCTCTGGCCTCACGAGGAAGTTGCACTTGTCGCAGATGGTATACTTATTCGGCATGTAGTTCCTAATTTTCCGCTTTTCGATTTGTATGCTGTTTTCTTCTGCGTTTGCTGGAGGGGACGACGAGGGGAAGGAGAAAAAAGAATGCCCTCCATGGGCAGTGCGTCATCATGTGTAGTAGCTGCTCACCATGGGTAGGGAACACTCAATGACAATTTCTCAATCCAGTTGGCAATCTCATCTCACATTCCCACGTGGTGTCCACGTATCCAGGGTTGTGAAGGGAGCACTTTAAAAAGGACCAATAGTAACAAACAAAAAAGGGGGCGCTCAGCATTCCGAGGATTATGCGTACAGTGCGGCTGTAGCTGTTTAGGTATTCATCTTGAAGGCAATCTGCAATAGAAGGGGGGGGGGGGGGGGGTGCATCCCAATGTGTACTCCACGTTTTGTCGTTCTTCCATTTACGTTTGTGTGCAGGCTTCTATAGAGGCTTCTATACTCGAGAAAGCATGTGCGGTGCGGGCGGCGGTGCTACGACGGCAGATGGCTCACTCACACAGGTAACATATATAAATGAAGGCGCTCAGAAGTGTCACGAAAAGGAAGGACAGAAAATTATTCATGTGGACGGTCTTCTAGGGTTCCAAAAAAAAAAAAAGAGAAGGAGAGTACGGAACTGCGAAGCGGGGGAAAAACTGAAAGAAAAAATGGGAATGTCGTAACCTGCCGCAGCAGAGGTAAATGTTCTCATGCGGAGCTCTGGCGCAGGGCTCAAAACGGACATTTTGCAAAGCGTTCCTTTCACCTTGTCAATGTCGTTAATTCGGCACGTACAAGTGTGCGCCTTGGTCTGTTTATCGCTCTATTATGGTTCCATGTGACTTTCCGGAGTTATTCCACTTTTTTTTTTTTTTTTTTTCGTCCCCGCATTGTCAGAATGCGATCTTCCAGTTTTGGCCTCTCAAAGCGTACATACAATAATGGGAAAGCCTGCAGGGGCGCGCAAATGCATGTACAAGGACATACGTGGCATGGTTTAAAAAAATTGTGCGGAAACGTCTACAGACGTGCCACCAAGTGGATTTGTTCGATTCTTTTCCTTTGGATTTCTTTTTATTTGATTTCTTCCCAGTGATGATGAAATCCCTCGGGGGAAATGAGAAATGGGGAACGCGAATGTGGGAAGGGGAAAAAGGCAAAAAATAGGAGGAAGAAAAACAGAACAAAACAAAGTAAAACATATCATAACAAAAGAACTTCCCACGGAGGCAAATCAGACGTTTGGCAAAAAACGGAAGCACTTTCGCCTCCCCTCTCAAGTGAAAAAACAAAAAAGAAAAAAAAAAAAAAAAAACATGCATGTGTTGCAACATGCTTTTACTCAGTATGCATTGCGGAATTCTGACGATTGGAATATATAAAAAATGAGTTTTTTCTTTTTCCGAGTTCTCTCACAGGTGGGTTACACAAATTTGTGTGTATTTGGACTAATCGCGTGATAAGAGTTTTTTCTTTTTCTTTCTTTTTCTGTCTTTTCTCCACCGTTGTAGCTTTTTTTTTTTTTTATCCGTGTTGTTAATGGGGTTACAATTCACCACCATCAATGGTCCCGCGCGCAGCAGGCACCGAATTGGGGGGCATACAATGACGCGATTCTGCGGGGAGAGAAAAATTCTGAGTAGCACATCCCCCTTCGTTGTGCATCCCTGTTCGTTGTGTGGAAGAGGCGACAAGAGGCCATTGGGAGTGACACAAACCTGACCATGATTCTGCTTGATATCTGTCCCCAGCAGAGCTCATGAGTGAGTCATGCCTATTGATGAATACAATTATAGTTTAAGAATGCGCTGACTCCTTTGCAAGACGTGTATTGAATAGGCAATCAACGCTGTTATGGCTTCTTGCCCTTATTTTACCGGTAATGGCCATTGTATCATTATGAAAAAAATAATTCACTTTAGGTATTAATAAATAAAAGATCTGCCGTCTTCATCCGAAGGCGCCACTACTATTGGCAATCATTACTACAGGGTGACGCAGTAATTGGAGAGGATCTAAAAATAGGGGTCAAAGACAGTAAGGTGGAACCTCCCAATATACACTGAGTCCTGCTTAGTGAAATCTTCTAGGGCCGCTAGCAGATCCCTAAACCAAACATGCTTAATAACGGAAAAGGAGAACTAACATTTATCTACCTATGCTGTTCTAGGAAAACTCGGGCTGGATAAGGGAGGGGCATCGACAGCACTATCATTGATCATGTCCACTCTACTGAAGAGGAGTGGAAACACAGAATCGTAAATAACAACTGGAACTAACAATTCAGCATCCACACGGTGCGCATCCTGTGAGAGTCCCCTTTACACATTTCGAATGCCTCTAAGCTGCATCGGATAACGCTTCTGGTATAACAACCTCTGTAACATCCCCCGATTGGTGGAATTATAGAAAGAGAGGAATCTGCACATATGTTACCGAACTGGGCAGTAAGTTCTTCTGACGTATTCTGCTTCCTCCCACGTAGCCTGAACTGCAAAAGAGAAGACATAATGAGCCCCACAGTATAAGCGTCACTTCTATGCTATCACTACTTCCTTCCTTCTTGGAATGCACTTGTCCCCTCTCCACATTTTGCATGTTAGAGTCAAAGTTAAAGTGCCAAAGACATAGCCCCCATGCACATTTCCAAGAAGCAAATATGGAAATCGGAACACCATTCGGTGAATCGGTACGGGGAAAAGTTTAGCATGAGGAGAACCGACGAGATAGCACACAATGAAATGATAGACACTACTGCATAAAAAGAAACGAAGGGGTCACACAGAATGTTACTCGTGGAAACGCACGTACATTACCCCCCTTATCAATTTCCCCCTGCTAGTAACAGGCGGATGTATATTCCCTCAGGAAGGAAATATATATGTTTCCTTCCTGAGGAGGAAAGGCCCGCTATGTTAACCATTTCAGATCTATTGCTCATCTCCGATGGGTTCCTTCTCCACGAGGTCCTGCTTCACCTGGGACTCTTTGTGCTTTTCTGACGATAGACCCATAATCCAATCCAGAATCTCTTTCAAAACGTTCTCACTTCGGGGTTGTTAAGTGATGGTAGGCTTTATATTATCCAGTGTGTTCACTCCTTCATTGTTCACATGAGGTTTGCTGCATAGTGATGGGAATGGACCATAGGAAGACAACATGCCCCTGTTAAAATAAATAGTCAGCAGATGAATATATTCAGTCATGTCTATTATGTCATTGTCTAAGTTGTCAGCTGTGATTATGATCTCATAGGAAAATCTATATTCGACTTCGTCCTCAGATCGGATTTTACAATAATGAATAAAATATTTAATATACGAATACATTTTATAGGGATACTGCGTAATGAGTCTCATCGCTGGTAATGAGACAACAATGAACTTCAACAGTGGAATATCAATCCGCTCAAATAAAAACAAATTGCTGGATGCTAGATTCTGAGGAGTTATCATCAAACAGATGAAGGAGCACCCCCTGATGTTTAGTTCTGTATTTTACATTTCCGACTCCCCGAATATTCGTAGAATTGTTGAAGCGATACTCCCCCCCAGGAATAAGTCGACTAGGCCAATAGAAAGGAGCTTCCTCGCACATATCTTGCCATCGAGAAATGTCAAACCACCACCTGCATGCGCGACAGCAGAGCGATTAAAAAGTGTGCTGAACGTTCTTATTATATTGCAATACCACCTCAGGGAAAACGTCCAACTCTTCTGCATTATAGTTGAGTTCCCGGAAGCTATCTTATAGCCCCTGAATTTCTTAATATAATCCGAGAACATAATAGCCATGCTGGTTAGAATATTCTGCATAGCTATATTCATGAACCTAGTCATTATGTTCATCCTTCATTATAGTGTGGAGGTCACTGAGTATCTCTGCGTTGGATTTTAAGGAGTTCCCTCTCGTGTACCATCTGATTCCCTAGAATTGTATTATGACACGTATGATGTCGTTTGGTAGCCATCGGGGGTCTCATCGTAGGGATGCATACTTATTGCCGATTGAGTCGTCTGTTGATGACATCAGAAACAGAAGTGCTCTTAAGCGTATTTATTCCTGGCGAGATTGAGCTTGGATCATGATACTGCAAAGAAAACGAAAAATTGGATCTACCTGATATTAGAAGAAGAAAAAGCAGCATAGGCGGCAGCAGATGGCGCTTACTGCTTTGGGCAAGGTCACTTCAGTCGCCCAAAACTGAAATGGACTCCTCTGAAGAAGTGCTTTAGGAACAACCGTACAAAATTAACCATGCCACATATATAAGGAGGGATAAATATAAAAAGAGAGGCTAACACATTAAACAAAAGGAACAGGAAGGAAGAGGAAGAATTCAGTTCAAGATAAAAGGACAAGAGGTAAAAGATAGTTAGAAGGGATGGACAGAAGATGCAGAAAATGAAAATTAGTATAGCGTGGAGGCGGCTGATCCGAAGGCTGGGTAACCATATAGTTAATTTAATGGTGATACTTAAAACAAGGCATGCTTTTGTATAGGATGGAGGAAATAAGTAGAATTACGTTCCTGCCGAATTGTATTCTTGATAATGCTCGAATTAGTGTTGATTAATCGGAACTAGAAATGAAGTGACGTTCTTATTATCTCACCCCCTTTGGAAGTGTTGGACGATATTTCTTTTACTTCAATAACTACACGGATGAATTCTCTGAAGGTGGAATTGTTATTTCGTTTTCCTTCAGTGTTTCTAGGTCAGGGGATAGGAATTAGCTTAAGATCCTCCTAGGACAGATCTCTGATGCATGACATAGATTACACTGTTTGGGGCATCACAGGAAGGCGCTATTGCTTCTCGTGTTAGAGTATTATTGTGCACCTGAGATAAATAAAGGATTAGGTTCTCCACAAGGTTATCTATATAGTGGCAATGAGGGATTGTGATATTTATGCAGTAATGGAAAAACAAATGGGGTTCCATGGAGATCGTTTCCTAATTATTTACAGTACTGGGAAGAGGGTTCAGTATTGACCATGAGAAAATAGTGGAGGTGCCATTAATTACTCGTATCAATCATTAATAGCAAAGGGCTCTCCCCAAGAGAACAAAGTAATAACTGACAAGCTTTCCGGGATAAGTTAGATGAAGGGGGAGGAATTATTCATTTTATTCCTACTCTACGATATGGGAAGTGACAAATGACAATTGTTCCCTCCTCTAAGGATTCACCTGGAACACAGATATGTAGATATGTCATAGGGACCGTGTCCTTCCCCTTGGGAATAAAATGGAGTCAATATTCCTGCATCATATTATCATAATGAGTAACATAGGGGGGGTTCCAGAATATACGAGTCAGGTTCAGATCATCTGGAGTTGTCAGTACATTCTCCGCTCCTTCCGTTTTGGAACCGATTAGAGATATCCTCCAGATATCTTCTTAAAAGAACTCATTTCTGTGCCATCCTCAAGGGGAATACGGGCGTGTGATGTCCGCAGAAAATGCATCTATGTCTGTAATTACCAGTATGTTCACTGGGGTTTATGCTAGTTATGACTGTGCTGAAAGGCAGGCAATAGAATAATATGAGTCTCTATACTGCTATAACGTCGCAGCGTCGTCGTCAGTGAATGAGTGTTGAACTTGCGATGACACATCAGCCGCAGTGGGAGCTGAACTCTAGAGCTTTACGGTACCAGCGGAACCCGAAAAGAGGGGCTTAAGCCATAATCTCTGGACGCTGCACCAAGGAACCTAAGCCCTCACACTCTAGAATGAGGGGCCTTAAACCTGGACCCCTGACAGAGGTGTGAGACGTAAACTCTAGATACGAACGTTGAACCCGGGATCAGACACTGTAAATCCCGGACCGTGAAGCGTGGACATTTAACCCTAGATATGAAGCGTAAACCTGACACTGTAAGCCTTCGAACCCCGAACATAAACCCAGAACCTAAACTCTCCACCGTAAGACATAAGCCGTGAAACATAGACGAGACTCTGAGGATGAGACGCTGAAGCGTCTGCCATAGAGACGTGAACCCTAGACACAGTACCTGAAACGAAAGAATTAAAACGTTAGAACAGGGGGAGTGAACTCTGAAATTGAAACACTAAATAATAAACTTGGACGTAAACAGTAAACTAGGAATTAGTGGTGTACGGGAAGTTAGATCCTGCAGGCCTGAATATAAACATAGACATAAACATAGGACAATGACAGTAAACCCTGAGCGTTATTCAGAAAGGGAAGGCTGAGAAGAATAGCAGAGATGTGAAAAAGGGAATCGTAAAGCTAACCCTGAGACTGAAACTCTAATTCATAAACCTCAACCCTAACCCTAAACGCGAAACCAGAAAGCTGACCCCGAAACTGACACCTCAAGGAGAACCTCAATTCCTGAATTCTAATGTCCCTGGTTGTCTGCCTCTCTGTTCCTGCTCCTTCCCTATACTGTGTCCGTCTGTAGAGGCTTTATTCAGGTATCCTGATCTTCTCTGATTACTTCCAGATATAGGTCTATATAATACTATCTCATCACTTTCAATCGTTTCCTCTCACTGTTCCTGCTGATGAACCTCTTCCCACAGGCGCACCCCCTTCTCCCTCTGTTGTCTTCTATATGCAGACCTCCCCGTGTTTTCCCTATTCTTCTTCGGTCATCCGACGTTGCTGACTGTCCTGACGACACTCTTATACTTCCTCCCTTGGTTTCACATGCAGCGCGTTTTTCTCCTGATTTGAGCCACAGATTCTAGGGGGGAGGGAGTATCATGCAGCAGTGTATTTTGTCTGACTCCCGTTTGATACGATCTAGCTTTCACCTATGTTTCGGTCAATACACGCATGTTTGATCCCTCCTCTTGCTTCCACTTTTAATATTCTATCTATTAGATAAAATAATCCTATTATTACTATGAAAGTGAGTATTATATTTATCGGGAGGATGTTGTGTGTTTTGGTTTCCTGTTCTAGCAGTATTGTTTCTTCCTCAACAGCCTCCCTGTTTATGTTTTTGTTCTTCATTTTTATTGTGTCCCCCTCTATAGCTCCTGCTTCGTTTATGATATGTTCCTATAATTGCTTATTCTCCTTTTCAGCTTCATCTGGAAGTCCGGTGCTATCTGGGGCTGTTCCCATGTTTATGTGTTCCATCCCTCTTTCTGACGTGGGCATTCTGTGTTGAGTGTTCCCGATATCGGGGGGTACACGGTTCCCGGTTTTGTGTATTGTACTGACATGTCCGCCGGCGGCTTCTATTACTCTCTTATTCCCTATGCTTGACATCAACTCCTTCCAGTAGTCTTTCCTCTCTTTGACAATTTGTGTCCACATGTGCCTCATCCATTATTATGTGTCGCTGTCACTTCCTAACTTTCCTATATCAGCCAGTATCTTCCTCCACTGTTGTCGCAATCCTTCTTGCGCATCCATGGTGCACGCTTCATTCTTTCTTTGTTGTAATTCCTTTGCCCCGAGCAATCCTTGTTTGATATCTTGCTTCGATGTGGCTGCAGTGGCATCTTCTTCTGTGATTGGGGGTATCATCACTACACTTGCTCCTCTGGCTCCTGACTTCTTCGTGATTTCTTCCGCCGTAGTTTCCTCTCCTTCTTCATTTCTGTTCTTGCTCTGTTCTTGTAATTTGTATGTGCTGTTCGTTTCTTTTATGAATTTGCTTAATTGGGTTGAATTCATTATATGTGATTCCGATTCTACTTGTTTTTTTAGTTTCCTTTTTTCTGCTATTCTGTGCATTATAAGACTCAGTTCATTCGTGTGGTTCCTTAAATGGTGTTGCGGGATTCCTTTTACTACACATCTCCTGGGTTTCCATTGTACCTGTCTCGTGCTGGATTCAGGAATGTGTTGGGTATATGTGATATATTCATTTCCCTGAGAACCTGATGGAATATTGAATACTGTCCATATATCACACTCATGGTATCTTTTTGTCTTCAATAGTTGCCAGGCAGACAGTCCTATCATCTGTTCACTCCATGTGTTCCTACTGGCCCACTCCAGCACCTCCTGCAACCAACCTATATAATACACATATTTGACATTATGCAGTACATTGATGGCCTTTAATTCTTTCATGATTTTTTCTTTGCTTTCGCACATCTTCCTTATGTCCGCAATGGCATGCCTATCGCGTCTTCCTGATATCTCATACTTTAAAAGGTTTGTGCATGTTGTGCTTTCCTTTATTTGTTCTGTGAGGATTTCCCATATGGTGTCCCCTAGAGCTTTCTCATCTAATCCACTTTTTGTCACTGATACCATGCTTGCCGTGTTTGTGTTGATATCCTTTATGTAGGCCTTCAGATTCCAGCAGGCTATATATTCCTTACTGTAATCCCTTTTATGTCGTGTTAATTGTGTCATTAAACGGACAACTTCCTTATAGGCCGTTTGTATTTCTTTCTTCCTCCTTCCTTTCCTGGGTTATCCTATTTGGTTGTATATTTTTTCTCTTAACCACTCTTTTAATCCGGGTTCACCTTCCTTCCATGCCATTCCATCCCGTCTTTGTTTCTATGAATCCTTGCACGGTTTTGTTTCGCCTCCTTAATGCTGACTTATTCATATGATGGTACGCGTGTAATACACCCCTTGTATGTGTATTGGTGCCCATGATGTGGTATATTTGTGCTACTCTGAAGGGTAATGTCTTATGGTGCTGAGCTGTGCCTAAATCCCGTCCGTTTCTCGGTTGTGTCTTGGAGTCTTCATATGTTCCATATGATATTACGGCCTCTCCTTCTTCGTGTCGCCCCTCCCTTCTTTTATTCGAGGATGTCATATATTTATGATTTGGCTTGACATATTGCTTAAAACACTCTGTGAAATGTCCTATAAGGTATATCTTCCCTGGACGTTTTTCCCTGGGCGGAGGGGGATATGCACTATACAATCTTGGGTCTTTCCTCATATGGCAGCACCGTTTTCCTAGAGCTTCATCCATTTGTCCCCGATGGCTGGGATTCTTCATAAAGAGTGTAATATTTGGGTGCCAGCCCCCTCGTTTGGTATCTTATTTCTCCTGTAATTCGCTCCTTTGGCTGGCGATCCTCCCCGATATCCTTCCCTGCCCCGTGTTGCTTCTTGTATATCTATTTTGTTTTTGAGGACGCAGACTCTTTGTTTTTCCAGTTCTGTGTTCTGCTCGCTCCTACCCATGTTGATCTCGAGTGTTTGGCTTGGTGAATTCCGTTCCCGCCATGTGGCAAGTGCTTCCGTGGTGTTATGCTCATTTCTGTTCTTTAATACGGGTTATATAACCCATCTTTCCTGGATGCTTGTTTTCTTTCTGTATATTACCTTCCCTGTTTCGGTTATGTTTATTTCCTTATGTATTCTTCAGTGTTTTCTCTTTCTTCTATATATGCTATACTAAGAATACCGTCAGAGTTTTCCGAACACACACAGGATCCAGGTATAGCTCGGAATGAATAGAGTTGTGCATATATCTAAAACTGTGTAATTCATGCTTAATCCTAATAAAAACAATTTTATGTTTTTACTCTTCCTCTATGATTATTATTTCCATCTGTATTTACCGTAACTGACACACATCCGCTAGGTATATCTTCTCATTCTATGAATAAAGACTTATTTCTGAATATTGATGAGCGGAAGGTTCCCAATTTTTCCTCAATATCGGATGCTCATTTATTCAATTTCGAAATTCCTATGAGCAGCATTATTCCTTCAATTCACTACTTCCAAAAAAGGATATTAGATGCTCGCCTCCCTTTCATGTATGTCCGTTTTATATATAATAACTGACTCTCCGTTCCGTCATTTCTCAAACCTCAATATCCTATCTTCATTTATATTTCTCCAGGGAGAATTTCTTTCTATCCTTAATATAGATTTATAAACTCCCATTCATTTATCTTATTCCAGAATAATTATTGTTTGTATGTTCTAGGATACCCTGATTTCTTCCTATAGTATGTTATTCTATAGTTCAATGTGTATATTTTATATCGTCATCGCCTCCATAATGAATGCAAGGCATATATTGAATTAGGCCCCGCCGAATTACTCCTTGTGTTATTCTTGCTTTAATAAAATTGCAGTGTCTTTATGGTTATTCTAATTTCCCTATCCTATCCATTATTCCTGACATTACTATAAACCATGGATGAGCAATCTTTTTATTTCTTCTTTCGTGATTTTCTGTTTGCTTTTTTTTTTAATTTATTCTAAAACATTTCCTTTTCAATATAAATTCCTACTTCACTATTCCTCTGAATAATTGATACTATAATTCTCCTCCTCTCATCTCCCTTTCTATATTGCTTCTTTCTCTTCTATATATTTCTCTGTTTGGGTCTTACCTTTCTGTATTTTTTTTTATTCCATGGATTCTTTACATTCTTCCATGTTTTCATATGTTTCTATCTAATTCTACTATGACAATGTCACTTCAATTGATTATTCCTTATCTCGAGACTCCAAAATTTTTACAGTATCTGCTATATCTGGTCACAGTCTTTATAAGCACTATATGGGCTATCCTCCTCTGACTCACAACACACTTATCCACTTATTATAAAGACTGCACTTCGACGGTATTATTTTACATAATTAGGAAGAGTTACTCTTAGAATGTATGGTCCGCAAAATGATAGACGTTGTATGAACATATATATCGCCTAGATAAGAAATTTATCCTGTACTCTCTTCTTCTTTAACTATGTAGACCTCATATAATACATTTTCTCAGTTGTTGGGGATTTCTGTATATAGAAGAGATGGGAAAATACAGAAACATACCTTTCATTAATGTGTAATATGTTCCTTCCCAGTTGTAATTCTACATTTTCGTTTTATTCTTAGACTTCTCCCTTCTTGACTTCGTAATGGATGAGTCCCTTCACTGCTTTTCCTTTTGTTCGTTCCTTTAATCCTCATATTACATACGCCTAAGGAACAGGATGTCTTATGGTACACTCAATTCTTATGTTAACAGTCACCAGAGATCGGGAGCTAGAATCCTGGGGCATGGGACAGCTAATAGTATTTCGTATTTCCTCAACATCCCAGAACTATGAAGTAGGTGTATATCACACAATAATCGTATGAATTAGCCATAAGGAGGATTATTAGGAAATTCCCCGCTGTATTATACTTCGTATGTCCATTGTGCAACATAACTAGTACCGATGCATATGAAGAATAGATTCAATCATAAAATTAAATATGCATGTCGAACTATATTCATATATCCCCGGAAATGTATCTAAGTCTTACATGAATATAAATGCCATGTTCTTTATAGTTATCCGGGCATTAATCAACAGGCTCAGTTCTACTAAATACTGTACACACGAATATGTCATTCTAGGGAGGAAGGTACTGAATTTCCTTGACATATATTAGATGACATCAAAAAAACGAATTAAGGAATACACGTCTGATGGACTGCTCCAGAGACTGATGGATGTTTTATCACCGAATAAACATTTCCATCATCACCTAGGTTTATTTAAATATTACCATGAACCTCATACATCAAATGAACAGGGTTCCATTTTCTCGTAAAAATACTTCAAAATATAGGTTCTCAACACAAGGAATCGGAGCGATAGTACTTATTGTCCATTCTACATTTCATACCACTACTACAAATTCCAATGAACTCCTGATTCACATAAGAATCATTATATGAAATGAGGGGATACCTGGAATTTGACCATGTCTTCATGCGTGACGGGTTTGATTAATGAGCTTCAACTGGAAATATAACAATCTCAGCGATACACAGAGCAGGACGTTATGTAATCGTTGTACACCTTCATGAATAATTTGGATTTCGATCACTCATACGAAATAGAAATAAATATTCCAGGGGGTTTCTCAATCACAGATGATTGTACTCCATATACGATTCGAAACGCTCGAAAGCAAATTGTTATATTGCCGGAACACACCTTAGGCTACTTCTTTGGTCACACAGTACGGTTATGTTAGCATTCGTAAATACATTACACAGAAGAGGCCATGGCAACAATACGATAGACAGTTCTTTTCTTTCATCGTTCCATATACTTCTCATTATTAATACTATTGTTACCATTTCCCCTTGAAAATTTGGCTTTTTATACGACTACTATTGCATATACAGAGTGCTACACGTTTTCTTCACATGTACACACTCTGAACCTTCCATAATTTAAGAAAACAAACAGAAGCGTCATAAGGCTTAATAGTTCTTGTTCATAGTTACTTCAACTACATCTACTGGCTATGGCGTCGAAGCCCTTATATATGATTTGTAGAGAGTTGATGTATTGGCAGCATAGTTATGAAGTCTATTTTTTTCTCATTCATATCTCTTTATTCTACATAACTACCAAATAATTGAAAATTACTATTTCTTCTTATAAATATTCTTCTCTCATTAAAAGGCTCCTTATGAAATTAACTTCTACCGAAATTTACATATAAGCATCACTTTAAGAAGTGATTGGCATCTTACGAATTTTTCCTATTGTTCTATACTCTTCTCAGTTGGGGTCCAACCACAGTTAACACTACGGATAAGGAAGCCCCATTTGAGGACACCTATGAGGATCTTTTTACTTTTTCAAATTACAAACATCGAGTGTTGCACTCTTCAGAAGATCACACCGTATTCTAACCAATTCTAATTACAATGCATTCCGTGAACCAGAATGTAATGTATAACTTCATATAACTGGACTAAATATGTGTTACTATTCCTTTGCAATAATTCTTCATCTATCTTGGAAAAGACATTTTTATAGCAAGACTCAGCAACAGTAGCTACATGTGCACAGGGTACTCTGTCTTCGCCTCTTGCCCAATTAATATAGAACATATCTGAATAGACTTCCTATAGAGTAAGTTAGAGGGAAATTCCCAAATCCTGCCGAATGGTTTGCCAATCTGAGCATATATCCCGCTCAAAATTAAAAAGTAAAGATTCTTTATTTTGTCTTCCTTAATGACTAATTCCCTCATTAATCCTCATATATGTTCCCAGGACATTATTCATGCTTCCATACGCATAATACAAAAGATAAAATGAGATTCCAATATAACTATAGAAACAGTGGTACTGACGCATACAACTTAAAATTGTATTATTACATATTAAAATTACTAAGTACAGACATGAAGGTCCATAATGGTGTCCATTAATACTTATGGTATTCCCTCTCTAAATCAAATGTATATTGATACAGTGTTTATGTCCTGTATCATAATAGAACATTATGAATATCCTCTTTAATATGATTCCCTTCTTAGAGTAAAACCTATCTTTGAGTCACTACCAGAATTTCGCCCTTTAGTGTATACATATGCCAACGGCATTACTCCCCATGTGACAATCCTTTTTTACATTAAGG